ATATAGGAAGGAAACTCAGTAAGAGTTGTACCCAGTACTTCTGAATACAATAGCACAGTTAAACTTTTTTCAGAAGTTTATATATAAGTTAAAAAGCAAAGGGGAATTAAACAGACATGCTAAATCCCTCCCTATTGGAAGGTAGTAACATTGTTTGCTTTTATAGAAAATTCTTAGAAGTGTTATCTCATTAATTTGATACTTTATTTTTCTGTGAATTCATGCAAGGCCTGTTCTTTATATTACACATAATGAATTCATTTTCTTTGGTTAAACAGGTAGATGTTTCTTCTTCCTGTCTCAACATTAATTATTTCCAAAAAAATCACACCTCCAGATACATAGTAGTAAGCAAATATATGCTAGGAAACTAAATCTCTTAATCAGTTGATATGGAATGTAAATTAGCTTTTAGACAAACTAAAAATCACCAATATTAACTTTTTTTTAAAAGTCACCACTAAGCAGCTTTTGAAAATGTGCTGCTGCTCTGATGCTTTTTCATGTATTTGAAGTCTGTAATGGTTAACCTGTCTTCTTTCATTTGTTATATTCTAGATCAGGGGGTCGCCAACCTTTTGGAACTCAGGGACCACCAAAGTCATAATTTTAGATCCTAGGGACCATTAACCAGTTCTGTGGGTGTGGCCTAATTTGTGGCTGTGGCTTGGTGGTCATGTGACTAGCTGGGCATGGCTTGTATGTAAATATTATAAATATTTATAAAAATATTGAATTTTTTATAAAAAAGCAACTTTTACCCAAAATCAGGCAAAGCAGGCAGGCAGATTGCTCACGAAATCATAGATTCATGCAGAGATCTATCTATCTGCCATTGGCTAGTTCAGTTTGTCACATAAAATTTGCTTTCAAGCAAGCTCACAAAATACCATGCATGTAAATATTGAATTTTTTATAAAAAACAGCAACTTTCAGACAAAGCCAGCAGATTGAGTTGCTCACAGAATCATTCAGTGATCTATCTATCTGCCATCGGCTAGCTCAGTCTTTCAAATTTGCTTGCCGTAGGTCTGCACTGAATTTGCTTGCAAGCAAACCTTCAGTCTTAAGGGAGGTTCGGCTGTGCTGAGCCAAAGATCTAAAGACTAGCTAGGAAGCAAGAAATCCAACCATTTCCTGCTTCCTAGCTAATCTAAATCTCCTGGCACAGCAGAACAGATGATGGTCGGAAAATGGAAAAATAGCAATTTAGCAGTCAAGTTTACCAGGTAATGAGTGAGTGGGCAGGGAGGGTTCCCGCGAGCCATGTGAGTGGCGCAGCCTTGTGTTTCTGCACAGCCTGGATTAATTGCTTTGTGGGGGTGCTCTGGGGGTGAGATTTCTCTGCGGCCCACCAAAATTTTCTCACGGCCCACCAGTAGGCTACGGCTCACCGATTGGCGACCACTGTTCTAGAAGATTTATTTCAAAGTATATTTTACATTGTTCTAACTAGAATTCTCCACTTACTTTTTTGAGGCAAACATTTGAAAGTGTTTTGAATTTAGATTATGAAAATTAGGTTCACTTAAGTTCTAATTGAAACTCAGATGGTGGTGGTCCAGAGAAATTAATTAAAATTATAGGCCCATGTTCCTAAATTCTAGAGTTCTCTGTAGACATCTTTAAGGACATATAAGTGAGAGCTATAAAGTTGCTAGCATTACAAGAGGTACTAATTGATATTGGATTTTTTTATTAAAATAATAATTCCACATGTTCTCTGAATGAAGTATAATTAAATTCTGTATCAATCAGTTCATAAGCCTACTTCTGAGAATTCTCTGTGTGATACCAGCATTGCACTGAAGATTCTTTTAACCTGGAAACCTGATGGTTTTCCCTATAGTTATCTTCTAACTTGAAGATTTGTTTAAATACTAAATAAATGCAAGTGGGTGGTTCTGTACTGATTAAAATTGCTAAGGAGAAGTAAAAGAAAATGAAAATAGGCAAATCACTTTTGTCATTTATACACATTTTTACAAATGTGAAGCAGGTGGATTTTGGGGAGGGAGGGTTCCGCTTGAAAACTCAGTACAGCTCAGCTGCTGGTGCTAGAAACAACAGATGAATGTGGACACATATTTATGGCTTGGTTGCATTTAATAATATCAGTTGATCTAAAATGCATTTCTCAAATTTACAAGGCAAAATGACATGTACTTCCCTTCCCCACCCCATTTTTCCCCAATTTTTTTTCAATGTAATTCTTTAATAAAGTAATATAAAAGTTTGTACATGAAAGAAAAAGAACATAAAAGGTTTACAAATGGAAGTAAACTTTAAAATGTATGATTTTTCATTTTAAAGAATAGCACTTCTGATGGTATTAGCAAAAAATAGGTTTATAATTTTGTTATTTCTCCTTTGATATGCTCTTCAGATTTTATTGCAGGAAATATAACCCTGAAACAATTTCAATTAATTTCTTTTTAAACTAAAATAACTGGGTGTCAATTTATAGTGGTTATAGTGGATAAGCTAGTAATGAATATTGCCTTAATTCTTCCTTTGTTCTGTCTTTGCTATTTGTGTTGATATTTAAATGCATTGTTTTAATATTTTGTTGTGTTCTACTTTTTGAAGACCATGTGTCACGTCCAACCCAAGAATGATATACAGTAGAATAATCCTACCAAAATTCAGTTCTTTATTTGCTTACACCAAATAGACCAGGGATGTCAAACTCTATTTCATTGAGGGTTCATCATCATCATTCATCAGGGTTGTGCTGGACTTTTTGGGAGGGATGTGGCTAAGGTGGGAGTGGCTAGCTCGACATCACTCGTGTCAGGGAGCACCTGTGGTGGCCCAAGTGCCCTCCCAAGCTATTTTTGCTCACACAGGGTTGCAGGAAGCCATCACAGCTGAAAACAGAGCTCAGGGGGCACTGCCCTTCTGAGCTCCCTTTTTGTGGGCAGAGGTTTGCAGGAAGCCATCACAGCCGAAACGGAGCTGGGGGGGGGCGACACGATCCTCCTGAGTTCCATTTTCACTGGCAGAGGCACTGCAGGCCAGTCCTTCATTGTTTACAGGGCGGCATGACGGTCCAGATCTAAGCACCCCGCGGGCCAGATTTGGCCCCACAGGCCTTGAGTTTCACATTCCTGCAATAGATAGAATCTTGACAGACTAAATAGAATAGAATACTTTATTGGCCAAGTGTGATTGGACACACAAGGAATTTGTCTTGGTGTAAATACTCTCAGTATACATAAAGAAAAGGTACATTCATTAAGAATCTAGAAACATAATGTACAACACTTAATGATAGTCATAGGGTACAATCAACAATCAAATCATACTAGGAAACAGTCAAGTGGGAGGGGATGGGTGATAAGGAGTCGTGAGAAGATTAACAGTAATAGTGTACACGTTGTAAATAGTTGAACAGTGTTGAGGGAATTATTTGTTTAGCATAGTGATGGCTTTCGGGGAAAAACTGTTCTTGTGTCCAGTTGTTCTGGTGTGCGGTGCTCTATAGTGTCGTTTTGAGGGAAGGTGTTGAAACAGTTTATGGCTGGGATGTGAGGGGTCTGTAAATATTTTCACAGCCCTCTTTTTGACTCGTGCAGTATACAGGTCCACAATTGAAGGCAGGTGGGTAGTAATTGTTTTTTCTGCAGTCCTAATTAACCTCTGAAGTCTGTGTCTGTCCTGTTGGGTTGCAGAACCAAACCAGAGTTATAGAGGTGGAGATGACAGACTCAGTAATTCCTCTGTAGAACTGTATCAGCAGCTCCTTGGGCAGTTTGAGCTTTCTGAGTTGGCGCAGAAAGAACATTCTTTGTTGTGCTTTTTTGATGATGTTTTTGATGTTAGGTGTCCATTTTAGGTCATGTGATATAGTATAACCTAGAAATTTGAAGGTCTCTACTATTGATACTGTGTTGTCTAGCATTGTAAGAGGTGGTAGTATAGGAGGGTTTCGTCTAAAGTCTACCACCATTTCTACGATTTTGAGTGTTTCAGTTCCAGATTGTTCTGGTTACACCACAAGGCAAGTTGTATAACCTCCTGTCTGTATGCAGATTCATTGTTGTCTCAAATGAGACCAATTAATCTTCACTACCACCCTCATCCCAATAGATATACTCTGGGAGATTCTAGGGAGTGGCTATCCTAATACTCTTCCTTTGATTCCTATTCAGCTCTGGGTTGTGATACCTGTTGTTGATCAGATATATATATATATATAGACCTTCAAATTGTAGAATCGCTGAACATGTCAATTTGTGGCCATATAACTTTGCATAAAACTGTTTTCCTCAATTAGAGAAATATATGAAAATATAAAGGCGTTCATTACTTAAATTACCGGTAATGGTTGACCAAAGTTCCAAACAAGGATGTTTTAATCAGAACATAGTGTTGATATTGAATAGATATTTCCAAACTGAGAAGTCTCTGGATATATTCTGAAAGAATTAATCCTAAACACACCTCGAGAGGTAGCATATTCATAATAAAATAAAGAAATGCAAGTTCATAAAAAACATGGATTTAATTATTTGTTTTAAAAAGTTAAGCAAAACAAATACATTTTAAATATTTCCTAAACCCATGACCTAAAATTGCAAGGAATATAATATGAAGAAATCCATGATTTGAAATGACACTGATTGATGATAAAGTCAGTTCAGCGTTCAAATGATGTTTCTGCCTAAAGAACAGTTCACCTTCTTTCAAAACAGTTAACTAAAGTAGAACAATTTTCATTGCCACTTTAGAATTTTCAATAAAATAGCTAATCCTATTTAGTGATTTACTACACTGTTGTCTCCATTTTTAAATACTTGTTAAATATATAAGCTGACCTTTTTAATGGAACAGTACCTATTGAGTCACAGTATTGTCTTGCAGAGAAAGAAAGAGTTATAACTAGGTTTGACTTGTTTACAAGTATCTGTAATTTCTGTGTAAAATACAACATTTTATATATTGAATAATGTACTTTTTTGGCCTTGTAACACTTCTTTAACTTTGTGTCATGTTAGATTTTCAAAAGAAGCAACCAGATGATGAGTCCACTCCCAGCACAAGTAACAGCCAATCGGATTTGTTCTCTGGAGAAACAAATAGTGACAACAGTAATACCTCTCTATTGACACAGACTGTTAACTCCAACCAGCAACTTTCGACAGAACTGAATGTAACTTCTTTGAGCAAAGAGGAATGTAAGTATGCAGTCTGAGAGAAGATTACAGGCTGTTCTGGAATTTAAGAATTTTAGCCCTTTAAGTTAGGGGTAGAGAAGAGCCTGAGAATTGATTGTCAAGTGCTAGCTGAAGAAAAGGGAATCAATGTATCTTTCCTATTTAGATATAATTATAGAAAAGCATTTGGTTGCTTGTATATATATTTTTCAGAATACTTCACAGTTTAATCTGTGAATCTATAATTTAAGATTATGCTTTAGAAACAGAAGTTTTCATTGTAACGTTTCTGCAGATTTTTTTAAAAAATATAGATGGTACCATGCACCATGTATACAGTGAGGATAAATACATTTATTATTGTTTTTGTTGTTGTTATTATTGTTGTTATTATTGTTGTTATTATTGTTGTTATTATTGTTATTATTGTTATTATTATTATTATTATTATTATTATTATTATTATTATTATTATT